ACAGCCCCCTGGCTGGGGTCTCGCTGTGGGCAGAGCTGACGAGGGCACCTCTCCTCACACCCTGGGACAGTGTTTGGGTCCTTGGTAAACCCTGGGGCTGCTGGCTCAGGCCACGCTGCCCACGGGGTGACAGGGCCACCCACAAGCCAGTGTGCTACTCACAGCATGCTGCCGCTTCATTTCTGTGATTGTGTGTGAGTGCAGGTGGCACCCGTGTCAGACATGAAACAGTAGGGAAGATGTGTGCACACACACATGTATATGTTCACATATGGAAAGATATAGATATATTTAGACATGAACATATTCATTGCAAGAAATTGGCTCACACTATTGCAGGGGCCGGCTGGGCAAGTCTGAGATCTGTAGCGTGAGCTGGCGCCTCAGAACCGGCGCCGCAGTCTCCCTCAGAACTAGCAAATTTGTTTCAAGTGATGAGTGCCATTTATCATTTCTGCATTATTCTTTGTGCCTTTTTGTCCTGCATTACTTTTACTTTTTCCAAGGCTGTGAAGGAAAAGCACAGTGGGGGCTCTGAGGACAGATCTGGGGGGATCTGTCCCCCATGGAGGCCCTCTCCCTCCTGTACCTGCCTCCGGGTGCCCAAACGTGGGGGGGCCAGGGTCCCAAGCAAACTCTCAGCTCTGCTTCCTCTCCACAGCCCCTCGACTATGAGAGCTGCGAGCAGTATGACCTCACAGTGCTGGTGCAGAACGAGGCCCCCCTGCTGGCGGCCGCCCCCAGGGCTCAGCGGGACCAGGCCCGAGTCAGCATCCAGGTGCAGGATGTCAACGAGGCACCCGTGTTCCAGGAGAACCCCCTGAGGACCAGCCTAGCTGAGGGGGCAGCCCCAGGAACCCCTGTGGCCACCTTCTCCGCCCAAGACCCCGACACACAGCAGCTGCAGAGGCTCAGGTGCCCCCCGGGGCCCCCGGGGCTGAGGCAGAGGGAGCTGAGAGCCCCATTCCCTCGTTTCGCTGCCGGGGCCAGGAGCACCACTGAGAGCACCCCAGCCTGTGTGCCCTGAGGGGTCCTGTCGGGACCTTGGTCCGAGGGTGGAGGGCTCCTCTGCCCCTGTGTGTCCCTGATGGTCCAAGGGGCCTTGAGTCCCACGTGTGCAGATATGGGTGTGACCTTGTTCCACAGACAGGACTGGGCTCCGGTCAGCGCACACGGACACTGCCAGTGCATTCCGACCAGCCTCTGGGTTCTGGCCCTGTCCATTCTGGCCCGTGTTCCCATGGGATGGGCCCTTGGGTCTCGCCCCCAGCCCTGGCCCTGGGTGTCTGTGCCTGTCCCCATGGTGCCGTGGGTTGAATCCTACTGGAGTGATGCTGTGTTGTGTCACTCGGTTGCCACTGAGCCCTCGTCAGCTCACCTGCGTTTCTGAGCCTCAGTTTCCTGATCTGTGGATTGGGATGGAAAATACCTGAGGAGGGACTCAAAGGCGTGTGCGTGTGTGTGGTGTGTGTGTGTGTGTACGAGGGATGCATGTATGCATGTCTGTACGTGACCACAGCTCTAGGGGGGCCCATGGAGCTCAGGACCCTGTTCCCTTCCCCCGCCTTGGCTGACAGCTACTCTAAGGATTACGACCCGGAGGACTGGCTGCAGGTGGATGGAGCCACAGGCTGGGTCCAGACACAGCGTGTGCTCAGCCCGGCATCCCCCTTCCTCAAGGACGGCTGGTACAGGGCCATCATCCTGGCCCACGACAACGGTGAGCATGCGCTCAGGCCTGGGCTCTGTGGCTCTCTGGCCGGGGCTGGGAATCCCTGCCGCCGGCCCAGGGGCCGAGAGCCTGGCCCTCCACTGAGCGGACTTACAGGGTGAGCGGTGGGCTCCAGCAGGGACAAGTGCCCACCAGGCCTCTTTTCTCTGCAGCCTCCCCTCCCCGCACAGCCACTGGGACCCTGTCCATTGAGATCCTGGAGGTCAACGACCATGCCCCCGAGCTGTCCCCACTGTCTGGAAGCCTGTGCAGTGAGCCGAACCAGGGCTCTGGCCTTCTCCTGGGTGCCACGGATGAAGACCTGCCCCCCCACGGGGCCCCCTTCCACTTCCTGCTGAGCCCCAGGTTTCCAGAGCTGGCGCGGAACTGGAGCCTCAGCCAGATTAACAGTGAGCTCCAGCCCCGGGGGTGCAGACCTGGACTTGGGGGCACTCAAGACACAGTCCTGCTGGTTCCCACTTCAGCACACCCTCAGGGGGTGGGGGCAGGGATTAGTTACTACACTTAGTGAGCAGATGGGCAAGAGGCCCAGCACCTCATGATCCCCATGGGGCACGGAGGGGGCATGGCCAGCCCAGGAGGGCCCTGCTGACCTTAGCACCCTCCACAGTGAGCCACGCTCGCCTGCGGTTGCGGCACCAGGTCCAGGAGGGGCTACACCGCCTCAGCCTGCTGCTGCGGGACTCGGGGCAGCCGCCCCAGCAGCACGAGCAGCCCCTGAATGTGACTGTGTGCCACTGTGGCCAGGACGGCACCTGCCTGCAGGGGGCCGCTGCGCTGAGGGCAAGGGGCACGGGCATCAGCCTGGGCGCCCTGGCCATCGTGCTGGCCAGCATCATCCTGCTGCTCTGTGAGTGCCCATGCCCTTAGACCCCTGCCCTCAGACCCTGGAGCCTTCAGACACTCCCCACGTCCCCTCTCCCCGCCGCCGCCACACCCCCATGCAGCCTCATCTAGCACCAACCGCACCGTGTCCTCCCACCCAGTGCTCACCCTGCCAGTGGCCCTCCTGACACGGTTCCGGCAGCCATCTTGGGACAAGGGGCTTCTACAGGGACTGCAGGACGACCTCAGGGACAACATCCTTAACTACGATGAGCAAGGGGGTGGGGAGGAGGACCAGGTAAGGGTAGGGTGGGGTTCTCCCTCTAAAGACAGAACCAGGGTGTGGTGGCTCAGACTGTTAAGTTGTGGAAAGGGTTCCAGGGAGCCTTGGTGGTGAGCCTCCCAAGACCCTTTGCCCCTACCCCAACCCAATGTGCCGTCTTAGGAGGAAGGTGCCTGGGAGGGAAACCTGGTCATCAATCCAGGCTGAAGTCCACACTCTTTGTCTGCAGGATGCCTATGACATCAGCCAGCTGCGCCACCCATCCAGGCTGGCAGCCCTGAGCACCCCTCTGGAACGGCCACCACTGCGCCGAGACGCCCCATTCAGCCGGATGTGCCCCCCACCGCCCCGTGTGCTGCCCAGCAGCCCTGCAGACATGGCAGACTTCATCAATGATGTAGGTCCTCTAGGGGCGATGAGGGCAGGGGGCACACATGTGCATGCATGTACATGTGTGTGTGCACACACACATACCCATGCATGCACACCACAGATAAGCACCTCAGTGTACCCCCATATGTGCACAGTTGCAGGGAATGGGCTTACTACTGGGGATCCTAGGGGATCTAGGAAGCTCCTGAGGCCCTGAGAGCTGAGTGAGGCTGAGGGAACAGAGGGTTCCAGGCACTAAGGCCCCACAGGAAGAGGAGGCTGGTGGACCCCTGCACAGGATCGCAGTGAGCCTAGTTGAGCTGGGGTGGGTTGGAGCCTGCCCATAGTGTTGTCCACCAAGCACTGGCAGAGGAAACCTAACGACCCCTGCCTGCAGTACAAGTGCAGCTGTCAGCTAAACTCAAGCATCCATAGTAGCTCCTCTGGACACAGCGTCAGTGACTTGCTGAAGTCAACACAGGAGATGCCCAAGACATGAAAACACAATTGAGTGGGCAAAGGGGGGAGCATGCAGGCACTTCTCAGTAGCGTGCCAGGTGCTCGGCACACTTGGTGCCCTGGCTCAAAGGCCCCTGACAGATGCCTGGCGAGGGGCGGCCCAGGTGCGGGTCCAGTTAGGAGGTGTGCAAGCCTGCAGCAACCGATGTGCACATTGACGAGGTGACAAGCACAGGTGGAGGCAACAGACCATTTGCCAAACCTTTAACAGGCAGAACCAGTTGTTCTCCCAGATGGGGTGTTAGGAAGCCTCAGGCAGAACATAGTCTTCTGAGACAGCTGGGCCCCAGGAAGGAAGGCCACCCAGAGGGAACCTTCTTTTCAAATCTGAACCCGGGACTCAGGCCCCCAGTGGTGCCCACACACTCAGGGCTGCTCCTCGAACCCCTGGTAGCCCTCAGACCTCTTCTGTGCCTTCCTGGTGCCATACCTGGAGTTGGCCTCACCTCGTGCTGCAGCTGGGCTGCGTGTGCAAGGGTCCTGACCTCCTGGGCCTTCTCTCTAGGGCTTGGAGGCTGCAGACGGTGACCTCAGCGTCCCGCCCTATGACACGGCTCTCATCTACGACTACGAAGGGGACGGGTCCATGGCAGGGACACTGAGCTCCATCCTGTCCAGTCTGGGCGATGAGGACCAAGACTACAGCTGCCTCCAGGATTGGGGCCCTCGCTTTGCCCGGCTGGCCGACTTGTATGGCCCCCTCTGAGGGCTGGAGAAAGGGCTGGATGCAATGGCCACTCAGAACAGGGAAGAGAGCTTTCTGCACCCACCCTGCTGAGGACACAGCCACCTAGACAGAGAGAGTGGACACACCTACCAGGATGACCACAGGGGTCTGACTGGACATGCCAATAGCTGGCTGTGTAGCTTGGAGGACCAGCTGACCTGTGTGGAGGTGGCTACAGGGCACCTGGCCCCATACCCAGGGGGCTTTGGGCAGCCTGCTTCTCCCAGGGGAGTGTGGAGTCCCAGGGCAGAGCGGAGCCTGGGGTGGGGCCGTGGGAAGGAGGTGCCCCTCCTGTCCCGACGGCCCCATGGCACTGCTCTGAGTCACCTGTGATAGGGGCCAGCCACCCCCATACCACCTCTGCCTCCCCCACGCAGACCTCATCCTTGTGGGAGAGGACCTGGCTCTCAGCAAACTCGGATTAAAACTGTGCTGTCTCTCCAGTGCTGGGTCTGCACAATGCGCTGCAGGGCCTTGCTTCACCCAGTCCTGCCCGAGTGGCAATAGCGGGCTGGCCCCCCACGAAGTAGGAGGGGCTGCAGGCACCTTGGCTGCGGGGGCCTGGAGTGGGAAGCCCCTCCAGCCCCAGGATGGGGTCTGAGGGAACCATGGAGGATGCCAAGTTCCACAGACGCCTTTATTCTTCACACATGGTGTGGGGGGGTGGTCAGGGCCCCCAGGAATAAGGGGCCCAGCAGGGGACTCCCCCTTTACACTGACCCCAGAGCTCCTCCCTGAGCCCCCTCTGCCCACACTGACATGTGGTCATCTGAGGGGAGTGTCTGTCCAGCCAGCGTCACCCATCCTGAAACAGCCGTGTCTGGGCCTGGCCGTAGGAGGGTGGCAGCAGGGGCAGGTGGTCCTGGCAGGGGCGGCCCCGAAGGAGTGGTGATCGGCGCAGGCGGTCCGAGTCCTCCAGCGACTGGGGCAGCCCACGGCCACGGCTCTCAGGCAACAGCAGGACACACAGCAGGGCGAGGATGGCAAAAGAGGTGAAAACCACGTGTTGCAGGAAGAAGCCCCTCCGGCCTTGCATGTCAGCGAGGGGGGTGGCCACCTGGCCCAGGAACTCGGCAGCCAGCACGAGGCCGAGCCCCGACGCCCTGCAGGAGAGGGTGCAGTGTGGGCAGCCTGGGCGGGCGGCCGCCCTCGCAGACAGACGGGCCCGTGAACACGGCATGTGGCGCTGGGCTCCCAGGCAGGTCCGATGCCAGGGAGGGGCTGGCCCCCAGCACAGCCAGAGGTGTTGGGGATCCAGGAAAACAAAACTGAAAACAATTTTGTGAAAAAGATGCTCCTTTCTGCCCTGGAACAAGTTTTGATCTTTTCATTAGAAAATTGGAAAACAAAATTTTCCCTGAAATTCTACCCTCTCTGGGGGCTATCTCAATGTCTGCCCCTTCGTCCCTGAGCTGCTGTCCAGACCTTTCTATACCAGTGTTCCTCATATCACCTGGGAACAGAATCTGAACTCTGGTCATGAAGGAATGAAGTCTTGGGCGCATGCCGCGGAGGGAAGGGTGTGGGGTGTCCGATTCCGAGAGGGCCCTGGCCCTGCCATGGGGCTGGGCAGCCGGAAACTCACCTGATCACTGTGGGGAAGATCTCGGCCCCGAAGAGGGTGCTTAGGATGGACACAGCCCGGGAGGCCAGGAGCCCCAGAACAGAGAAGGACAGCAGGGTCCAGCCCGGCAGGTCTGGGAACAAAGGGGATCCCTCACCACCCACACCTGGCTGCTCAGGGCCTCCCCTCAGGCGTATCCCTGCCGATGCCAGCCTTTTGCCCCTGCACTCACACTCTGGGTTGGGTGTCAGGTGTCCTGGCTGCCCCTGCCCAGACCAGACCCTTTGGGTTAGCCCCTGCATGTAGATTCTTTTAGACCCTTAACTCTTTGGGCCCTGGTTTCCCTGAGTGCCAGTGAGAAGATGGACAAGGTAAAGGCACAGCTGCCTCGTCCCAACACACCATGCTTCTCTACGACCCCAGGACGGGGCTGATCCCAGGGCCCTCCCCACTCCATGGGACTGATCTCAGCCAAATAGGATGAGCCTGTAGGATGCCTGCAAGGCCCCACACTCACACTGGACCCCTGAGAGAAGCAGCAGGGATGCCAGGCCCATGACCAAGGTGCTCAGCAGCAGAACCAGGCGGCGCCCCCAGCGATCCACTGTCAGGAGCAGGAAGACGGTGGCTGCCACCTCAAGGCCGGCCCCTAGGAAGTAGGGCCCATAAAAGGCCGACTCACGAGGGGCCAGTCTTTGGAGGAAGCTGGCTCTGATGCCCCCACCGACCAACCTAGGAGGGAGAGCAAAGTTATAGATTCAGCCAGAGCTGGGGACTCTGGTGACAACACTGACAGAGGGCGAGGCACAAATCCCTCTCAGCCCACCCACGCCGTCCGCTCCTCACGAACTGAAGCCCAGGATGAGTCCATTCCTCCAGGTGATGCGCGTGTGCCGGAGCTCCAGGACCCAGTGGTGCTGGGGCTGGGGGCTCCCTGTAGACAGCACATCCAGCTCTATGGATGTGAGAGAACATGAGGGGGTGTGTATATGGGGGTGACACCTCTCCTCCTCCAGCACCCACGCCTCCCTTCTCTTGGCTGGTGCATTACCCGTAACCAGGGAGCTCTCCTCCTCAGGGCTGTTCTCCGGGTCCACGCCGCTGGCTTCGGCAAAGTGCCACAAGATCTTCCTGGCTTGGCCCAGCTGCCCCGTGGCCAGCAGCCAGCAGGGAGACTCAGGGAACAGGGCTGGGAACCTGCAGGGGTGGGCGGAGGATGCCTTCTGGTCCTCCCACAGGGATGACAAGGGCCCCTTCTCCCTGGACCCCAGGTCAGGACATCAAATGGCTTTCTATGTCCCTGCCCCATGCCCACATGCCTAGTAGTGCACGGAGGTGCTGAGGGAAGTGAAACCTTTGGCCTCCACAGAGGCCACTGACCCATCTCCCGCCACACTTACCCCCAAAAGAGCAGCAGCAGTCCCGTTGCTAGGGCACTCAGCCCCTGCAGAAGGCGCCAGTCCTTTGCGAGCAGGGCCAGGCCAGGCAACAGCAGAGTGCCCACCACTGAGAAGAGGCCAGCCCCCACAGAGAACGCCAGGCGGTGCGGGGGGTCACACAGCTCCAGGCCTGGGCAGACACAGAAGGCCTGAGGCCAAGTCCTCTAGAGAGGGCTGCTCTGCCTGGGGCTGTGGGGACCAACTGCTGACCTGCCCAGGAGCTACACATCTGAGGCCCATTTGCTGCCCACTCCAGCACCTGAGCCTGCCTGCAAACAGCAGAGCTCACAGAGCAAATAGTGCCCACCCACCTTCTTGAGAAGAGCCCTCAACAGGAGTACAGAGAGTTCTCCCATGCCACTGACCGCCCTGCAGAGGGGTCAGAGGTCTAGCCTGAGTGGGTGTCCCTTCCCAGTCCCCCATGGTACTCACGAGCCACGTAGAGGGCTAGAGAGGCCCCTGCCAAAGCCCCCCCGTGAAGCAGCCGCAGGGCCAGCAGGGCAGGAAAGCTGGCAGCCAGGGCCTCACCAGCCCCCAGGCCTGTGGCCAGCACCAGGGAGGCCAAAAACACAACCCGACGTCCAAACCTGGTGGGCAGGGGCAACACACATGGATGCAGGTCAGGACAGCTCAGGGGCTTAGTGGGACCCTGAGGGGCTTGAGGGGAGGGGCAGCACCTCACCAGTCACAGCCCATGCCCAGGATGACACAGCCCAACAGCCAGCCCAGGAGGTGGCTCGTCTGCTCCAGTGGCACCTTCCAGCCGTTCTCACACACGAGGTTCCACTGCAGGGGACACCCGTCACCTGTCAGTCAGTCCCCCCACTTTGCTGGAGTCCCCAGATTGTCAGGCTGGAAGGGGGCCTTAGACATCCTGCTCCTATTCCTCCCTGGATAAAAGGGGAAACTGAGGTACAGAGAGGGCAAGGGATCTGCTAAAAGTCATACTATGTGGTCTCCTAATTCTGGTGGGTTTCACATGGAATCAATATGATTCCTGGTCTGAGCCCCCAGGGGGTAGTGACCTGGGATCTGGTTTCTGTTTTCTCTGGATGGAGCTTCACCCACCCTTTTCCAGCCCTCTCTCTCCCTTAGAGCCTGGACCTTGGCTGGGCACAGCAGTTTCTACCTGCTGTTCCCAGGGTCCCTGGGACCTCGCCCTCACTTCTCCCCTTCTCTGCTCACTTCGAGAGCAACTCCGGGAACAGACTGTGGGGCTGTGCTCACCTGGTTTTCCTGGTCAAGGGCCCTTGACCTCAGTTTTGCCAAACCTCCTCACCTCACCTTCCAAGGTCCTGTTCCTTTTTTACAAGGTTAACATCCTGGATGGGGTCACAGTGTGTCAGAGTTTTTATTTTAAAATCCAACCACTTGTGAAAGCTGGTGGGGCACTGATTGAGTGGCACACCAGCAGGGGGGCAGGTGTGGGGTGGAACAGAACGGGCGGGAGAAGAGACGCTCTGCCGGTTGGAGGGCCCCAGGCAGGCCTGGCAGGGACTCGGAACCTTGCTCCAGTTTCCACACTGGGGCCGTCCTGCCCCCGGGGAGGGGAGGGGGAGATTGGAGTAGTGGGGCTGGGGGGCAGCTGTGGGGCTGAGGATGGGACAGAAGGTACGTTTCCCCCTCCCTATTTCTTCCCACCCAGACCCCTGAGCTGTTCCCTTGGATGCCCCTGCCCGTAATCCAACCTGCACACACCTCACAGGTGGGAAATCTGCCTTTCCGAACTGAACTGACTATATTGCTCCCTTGATTCAAAGGCTTCTGTTTCGGAAACCAGTCTCCTCATAGCCCAAAGCTACAGGTGGCTCAAAATGTTCGAGGCACTGAAGTGAACTGGTGCTTGCTTACCTGGCTGATCATACCTTCAGTTTAACTCCTCCTCCTCCCCCAGGCTGCCTACCCACCTTGGCAGCCCTTGGCCCTCATACTCTGCCATTAGGACAGGCAACCTGCTAACCTGAGTATCAGCTGTACCATCAGAGAGCCTCAGTAGAGCAAGAGCAGAAGGGCAAGAGGGTGGAGGAGGGGAGACAGAGAAAGGGAGGACAGAGGAAAGGGGGAGAAGGAGGGGAACAGACGAGGAGGGACAGAGGAAGGTAGATGGAAGAAGGGGGAGACGGGAGGGCGAACGGAGGAGGGGGCCAGAGAAGAGGAGGCAGAGAGGGACCAGAGGAAGGGGAAGAGAGAAATGGGGGAAGGGGAACAAGGGGACAGAAGAATGGGGGTACAGGACAAGGCAGGGTACAAAGGGGAGAGAGGCGGGGGCAGCGTGCAGAAGACCCCAGGCAGTCCTCCCGCACCTCGGTGACCGGGCTGCGCAGCAGGCCTGCCGCGGGCAGCGCGTAGTGCCAGCCGCGTGTGCAGGACCGCGTGCCGTTCGGGGGGGCGCGGGGCGTGGGCTCGGAGTAGCTCAGGAGCAGACATGGACTCCAGGCGCGCGCGGGGCCCAGGCGTGGCACGCTGGCATCGAGTAGCGCGGGCCCACTCAGGGTGCGCAGCGCGGGGGGCAGCAGCGAGGGGTCCGGCCGGCAGTGGTGCCCGGGCAGCACGGTGAGCAGCGGCTCCGAGCCCAGTGCCAGCCCCAGCGCCACGCACGGCAGCCACGAAGCGGCGGCCACCAGGCGCCGAGCCCGGCCGAAGCCTCCCGCCGCACGCAACACCCGCACCTCGGGCTCCATCCGCGGCTTCTGCGCCAGGGCAAAACTTGAGGGGGCGGAACCTACGGAGCTGAGAAGTGTCGCCGGCGGAACCTAAGGGGCGGGGTCTGCAGGTGGGCTTAGGGGGAGCGCCGCCAGAGGGGCGGGCTATTGGGGGCGGGACTATGGAGGGCGGAACAGATCCTTGTTGCGAAGCTTGAAAGGACCCGAGACCGGGGCGGGGCTGAGGAGTATAAGGTAAGAGGGCGGATCCAGGAGAGGGACCGCAAAGGGCATGGCAGGTGAGGATCTTAGTGCCTTTGGCCCTGGGTCCCTCCCTGCCTTGAAGACCACGGAGGAGTGACTGTTGGGTTGTGGCCCTCGCGGCGTCCTCGCGCGCGAGGATTGGTCGAGGAGCCCTCCGGAGTGTGTTGCCCCGTGGCGTCCGGCCGCGCGGGCTGCCGGGCCAGGCCTGTCCTCGAGAGCTCTGGGCGGACACTCTCAAGCGGCTCCAGGGCCTTGGGGTCACAAGGTCGGTCTGAGAGCCCGAGCGCTGTTGGGCGGCTGGGGATCGCGGGCCAGACGCACACTGGACCCCACGCCGGCCTCGGGTCAGGCCTAAGGAGCACGGGCTGCCACTGCCCCCCGGCGGCGTGCCGCCGCTCTGCTGCCTTGAGAGGAAGCGACTCGGACAGTCCTGCTCCCGTGTGCAGCCCCGGCAGGTTTGCGTGGCCACCGTCGCTGCAGCCCCAGCAGTGTGTGGTATCCAAGCTCTGCGTCCTCAGAAATTTGAGGATTATCGTAATTATTTTGCAAAACGAGCTTCAATCACTTTGTCTGGTTCTGAGTCCTTTTGTGAACTTGGCTCGAAATGGCGTTGCGTTTATGGATTAAGAAGGGTCATCGACACCGTCACCCTAATGGAGGCTTCCACCCAGGAACAAAGTAGGTCTTGTTTGTTTTTAACTTTTTTTTGTTTTTTGCAGTGAGGGAAATTACAGTAGGTCCTATAGATTATGTCTAAATTTCCCTAACTAGTTTGCTTTCTGTTGCTTTGTGAAGGGACTGTGGATTTGCATTGTATTTTCTAACCGGCATGTTTTTTGTTTCTCAGGATATTATTAGCTTTTTCAAACTATTTTATTGACGTGAAATACACATAATATAAAACCAACCATTTTATGCTACCACCACCTTTATCAAGTTCCTAAATACTTTCACCACAAAACAAAACCTGATACCCATTAAGTAATCAGTACCTATTCCCCCTCCTCCAATTCCCCACTCCTCCAACCAATATGGGGCCTTTTGGGTCTGGCTGCTTTCACTTAGAATAATGTTTCAGGGGTCACTTACATTGTAGTATCTATCAGGACTTCATTCCTTTTTTAGGCTGAGTAATATTTCTTTATATAGGCCTGTCACATTTTTTTTTGTCCATCTGTTGATGGACATTTGGATTGTTTCCCCTTTTTGCCTATTGTGCAAATATTTAGTGCTATGAACACTGGTGTACAGCAGGTTCTCCAATAACGTTATTTTGTCACACATTGATGAGATGTTGTGGAGACTTAATGCTTACGTGTATCCATTAGCCTATGGTAAAATTGTTTTCGTAATACATCGTTTCGCTTAGTCATAGAACCTATCGATGGTGTTAAGTGAGGAGTTACTACTGTACAAGTATTTGTTTGAGTACCTATTTTCAGATCTTTCGGGTATATGCATAGACGTGACATTGCTGGGTCAAGTAGGGAGTCTATGTTTAACATTTTGAGGAACCACCAAAAAAATGTCCACAATGGCTGCCCATTTTACATTCTCAACAGCAATACACAAGGATTCCAATTTCTCCACCTTCTTGCCAACACGTATCTTCCCTTAAAAAAAGAAAAGAAAAGAAAAGAAAGAAACTGCACTCATTCTAGTGGGTGTGAAATTTCTCACTGTGGTTTTTATTCGCCTCTCCCTAATGGCTAGTGATATTAAAAACCTTTTTGTAGCCCTGGCTGGCGTAGCTCAGTGGATTGAGCACGGACTGGGAACCAAAGTGTCCCAGGTTCGATTCCCAGTCAGGGCACATGCCTGGGTTGCAGGCCATAACCCCCAGCAACCGCACATTGATGTTTCTGTCTCTCTCTGTCTATCTCCCTCCTTTGCCCTCTAAAAATAAACAAATAAAATTTAAAAAATGAAAAAAATCTTTTTGTGTGTTCCTGTGTATATTTTTGAAGAAATACCATAACTGTTCAAAACTTTTGTCCACTTTTTACTTGGCCTGCATGCCTTTTTGTTGTTCATTTATAAGAATTCTTTACATATTTTGGATACTAGACTTTATCAGATATATGATTTGCAAGTATTTTCTGCCATCCTGTAGAAAATCTTTTCATAAGATTTTAATGTTGATGAAATTCACTTTTTGTTCCTTTATGCTCGTGCTTCTGGTGTCATACTGAAGAAACCATTACAAATATCATAAAGATTAACACCTGCGTTTCCTCCTGATCATTTTATAGTTTCATCTCTTACACTTAGAGATTTGATCCAAATTGACTTTTCTATATAGTATGTGATATGAGTTTAACTTTGTTGTTTTACATGGGGATATTCATATTTCCCAGCATTCGTTGAAAGGCCTATTCTATTCCCATTGACTCATGTTGGTGCTCTTTATTTTAAAATTGTATTTTATTGATTATGCTATTACGGTTGTCCCAGTTTTTCCCCTTTGCCCTCCCCCCGACCACCCAGCAACCCCCACACCCTCAGGAATCCCCACACCATTGTTCATGTCCATCAGTCATGGGTAAAAGTTCTTCGGCTACTCCATTTCCTATGCTGTGCTTTATGTCCCCATGGCTATTCTGTAACTACCTATTTGTACTTCTTAATCCCCTCACCTCTTCACCCATCTCCTCACATCCCCCTCCCATCTGGCAACTGTGAAAATACTCTCTGTATTCATGATTCTGTCTTGTTCTTCTTGTTTGCTTAGTTTGTTTTTTAGATTCAATTGTTTATAGATATGTATAATTGCCATTCTATTATTCATAGTTTTGATCTTCTTAAAGAAGTCCCTTTAACATTTCATGTAATAATGGTTTGGTAATGACGAACTCCTTTAGTTTTTCCTTGTCTGGGAAGCTCTTTATCTGCCCTTCTATTCTAAATCATAGCTTTGCTGGGTAGAGCAACCTTGGCTGTAGGTCCCTGCTTTTCATGACTTTGAATATTTCTTGTCAATCCCTTCTAGTTTGCAAAGTTTCTTTTGAGAAATCAGCTGACAGACTTGTGGGAACTCCTCTGTAGGTAACTAATGGCTTTTCTTTCTCTGGTTTTAAGATTCTCTTTTCCTTTTTAACCTTTGCCATTTTAATTATGATGTGTCTTGGAGTGGGCCTTTTTGCATTCATCTTATTTGGGACTCTCTGTGCTTTCTGGACTTGAATGTCTATTTCCTTCACCAAATTAGGGAAGTTTTCTTTCATTATTTTTGCAAAGAGATTTCCAATTTCTTGTTTTTTCTCTTTTTCTTCTTCTACCACTATGATGTGAATGTTGGAACACTTGAAGTTTTCCCAAGGCTCATTACACTGTCCTTGTCCTTTTGTACTTCTTATTGTTCTGATTGGTTGTGTTTTTTTCTTCCTTATGTTCCAAATCATTGATCTGGAGCATCCACTCAACTATTGTTTCTCTGTAAATTGTTCTTTATTTCACTTATTGTATCCATCATTTCTGGCTGGACCTATTTTATGCTGTTGAGGTTCTCACTAAGTTCCTTGAGTATTCTTATAACCAGTGTTTTGAACTCTGCATCTGATAGATTGCTTAGCTACATTTTATTTAGTTCTTTTTCTGGAGTTTTGATCTTTTTTTTTTTCCATTTGGGCCATGTTTCTTTGTCTTTTCATTTTGGCAGCCTCCTTGTGTTTGTTTCTAGGTATTAGGTAGAGCTGCTATGACTCCTTGTTTGGCAGCATGGCATAATATTGTAGGTGTCATGTAGGGTCCAGTGGCACAGCCTCCCCTATTACCCAGGCTGGGTACTCAAGGTGCGCCCTTTGTGTAGGCTGAGTACTCACTCCTCTGGTAGTTGAGCCTTGATTGCTATTGGTCAATGCGAGGGATTTACCCAGGCCAGTGAGCTGCAAGGACTGGCTGTGACTCCTGACCACCAACCTCCACCCTCAGTAGAGGACCAGCTGTTCTGGAACAGGGCAGTGGTGCTCCAATAGGGTCTGTAGCTGTCCACTGGATGCACAGGCTCTTGGGTTTCCCAGGTTGTACAGGCAAGGTCAGCCTCAACCTGTATTCTGCTCTGGGCCACTCTGCATGAGCTATAAAACCCTTTGAGATGGCTGCTACTTATACTGGGCTTGGAGGTTCCCAGGTGAAGCCAAGATGTGAATCCAGGCTGGCTGCTGCTAGTGCTGGGCCTGGGGCCACTTAGCAAGAGGTATGGGGGCTGGCTGTTGTTTGAGAGGATTTAGGAAGTTGTCAAGCATGATCCAAGACCAGCCATTCATATGGAAAAGTCACTATTAACAGCTTGGGTGAGCCTGTAAGTTGGGTGGAATGGAATCTCAGGAGACCTCCAGGGCTGGGCAAACAGTGTTAGCCAGGTTGATGGAGTCTCAGATATGGCACCTGCCTACCAGCTCTGTGACTGTGTGGAAAGGATTCATAAAAGGGACAATGGCCTCTGCCTGAATTTCTGTCTGGGAGAAAGCTATCCCCAGATCTCACTTTGATGCCAGACACTTTGGTTCCTCGCCGTATGACACTGGTGTCTTTCAGACTGCTCACCAGTCCTGGAGCTCAGGGGGAGTGAATCTAAGTAAGTCAGTTTGTGAGTTCTTTAAGAGGAACTGCTTGGGACTACAGAAGTTTCTTCTACCTGCTCAATCCCCACTGGTTTTTGCAGTCAGAAGTTATGGGAACTACTTATCTTTCTGGCATTGGAGCCCTGGGCTGGGGGAACTGGTGTGGGGCTGGGACTCCCAAGATATCCCTCCTGAATTTTTATCCACCACACA